AACATCCTTTTCCTCAACAGAGGCACTCCAAACGGCATCTGCAAGAATTTCTGAAATTACCACCTATTATTAGTTAGCTAGTTAAAACTGAGGTCAAACAATGGAGAAAAATAAGTTTTATAGCATTTTTTAGTCAAGTGTTTTTACACCAGTGAAAGTCAGAAGCATTCAGCCATGTCCATGTAGCAGAAGAAGCAAGGTTTTTACAAAAACAAAATTTAAGAATACAATGCAGATTTTTTTCCAAGGGTGAGGTTGTCTTTTCAGAGTGTCTCCTCCTACATGCATGCAGACCAGCAACAATAACTTTTCTGTAGACTAGCAGTGGATTTTTATTCTTCGAGATCAAATTACTTGCATCCTTTTCAAGCATTCTCTGAGTTCTGTTTCTGCAACTTGATACTAACTATGCTGATTCTCCAGGAAACTGACCAAACTATCCAAGCATCTGCCTTATCCTTGCATTCATCTCAAGAGGGCTTTTAGCCAAACCAAAGACAGCAGTGAAAAAACATGATCATTATGTGGTAAATACAACTTAGCAACTAAATGTCCCAATTATTATCTACTGCAAAACCACTGTGGAGAGGTTATGTATTGTTGGGGGTGGGGATAGGATTTTCAGATCTCAGGACCATGCAACGTAACTCAGCTCAGTTCAGTACTTGCGGAATAAAGGGTATTTGGGTACAGAAGCCAGAAGGGTGAACAGTCTTTCCCTGTTTGTTTCGAGTAGAGCTAAGAGTTAAAAGCAGGGCTTCAAACCTGGGATACTATGGAAACAGGAATCCACACTTCATTTGAGAAGTCATAGAAGGAAAATGGTGCAGAGTGGCCAGAATACGAAAGATCTCAAGAATGGTGAAACAACCTGGAAAGTGTCACCTCCATAGTAGATGCACAAGTGCACAAAGGGAAACAGATCATGTCAGAGAAAGCTCAGAAGGATAAAACAGTACAAGAAAACAGCAAGGGCTTACAGGAGAGTAGACTTCAAGTGCAATAAAGGGTCCTACCAATACTCAGAGAAATAAGGAAATGCATCAGAAGACCAGCATGGAACTCATGATAGTGCACCAGTGCAAAAGGTCAACATACCTTGCAAGGCAGGGAGCAGGGACAGGCTGCAAAGGCAAGATCTGTGATCATTATTTGGGCATTCACAGCTGGTGTTAGGAAAGCTACAGATAAGCAGCTGAGACTGACAAGGGAGTCAAGAGCATAGGAAGACTTTCTACCATTACACAAACAGTAAAAAACTGAATTAAGTCAGCGAACCACTGGGCTCAGTGAGGCCTTCTGAGGAAGGCTTGCATGCTGGAGCTTTGAGGTACCTGACAACACCACGTTGCCTTCAGGAAAGGGGTGGCAGGGACAGGTGCTTCGCAGCAGTGTCTAGCAAGGTGGTGAGAAACAATGTGCTCAGACTTCTCTCTCCTGAGTGCAGCTGCACAGTGGAAAAGGTTGCCCAGGAAGGCTACAGTGTCATCTCCATCCTTGAAGGCTCCCAGATACAACTAGAAAAGCCTGAGCAACCTCATCTAACCCTAGACTTGAACGTGCTCCAAGCAAGGCCTGGACTAGCAACATCACAAAGTCCTTTCCAATCTGAATTGTTCTGTGAAGTAAGAAGCTTCTATTGCACAGGGGTGGCAGTCTTTGAGAGCATCATGCTTGAGTGTACTCCAGCATGTCAAGGTTAGTTTTCTTTTGGGCCGTAACAGGGAAGCGTCAGATAACTGTAGATATGAGATTGTTTTAGAGTCCATTATCTGGCTACCTGAAGTCACTCTCCAGGATCTTACAAAACATTTATGTACTAGGATTATTCTTTTACTATGTTCCACAATACAAAATTTGTCCAGTGAACAGATGAAAGAAACAGACTGTGTTTGACCTATATGACAACTTTAGGAGGTGCATTTCCAATACATTTTATATGCTCTAATTATTTTGGTATTTTTAAAAAACTTATAGTAATACGTGGTGCCAACAATGCTTATTTAGTATACTAGTTGTGAAAATAGACCTCTTTATTATCTCCTAGACTTTGCGCTCCAAAAGGAATAAGAAGGTGTGAGTGATCCTAATAATTGAGATAACATTCACACAGAGCAAGGGACTGGACCAAATGAGTATCCCTACTACCATTACCACGATCCCTCACCCCCTATCATTATGTGATGCTTGATTAAGTACTAATATATATATCTATAGTATAGTGTATATATATATATATATATAGCTTTTTTTTTTTTTTCTTCTTACATATCTTATTTTCTCTGGTAGGGAATTGTAACAGTAGAAACTGATGTAGTTAAAGGTACTGCATGGAACATATACAGGTGCATCCCTTCACTATCTCTCAATGTCTTCTACTCACCTTTGTGGAGTTCTAGGTATATATACAGGCAAGGGTTTTGTTAGATTTTTTGGAAGCTCCTGTGTGATTCAGTGGCTAGAATCTCACTCAATAAGATGCCCAAGTTATTTGGAAGCTTTCAGAAACTCTTGCCTGCGGGTAGTATTACCCTCACTGTTTCATTGTCACCTTCCTTCCCATATGTAGGTCTGTATTTTTTTCTCCATGAAATTAAATATTAAGATGTCTGAGTAAATGGTCTTTTGCTCTTTTTATGATACAATTTGTGCAAGGCTTTAATTTTACAATCATATAATGGGTTGGAAGGGACCCAAGGGATCATTAAGTTTCAATCCCCCTGCCACAGGCAGGGCCACCAACCTCAGAAGTGCATCTTCTGTCATATATTGGTATATTGTTGGATATTCTATTTATTTCAGTTGCTTAGAATGTGTACTTTAATCATGATTTGTATGAATATTAGCTTAAAAAATGATGTTTTAACAATTTCTGAGTTTTTATGTGCTGTTCACACTTCTTTATTTTACAAACCAGAAAAGGTTTGTTTTCCCTACCCTGCCGAGATCAGGAAATGATGTTTTACCCAGTTTCCACTGGGGAAATCAAGGCTTCATGCACTCAAGACAGAGGGATTATCCTATGAAAACAAAAATAAAGATGACTGTATGGCCCACTAAACTGATCTCGTGATAGAAATTACCCAAATGGCCACATGGCATGTCTTGTTACCTGGGTCTTGCAGAAAAGCTGAATCCCAGCTTCCTTTTCTCCCTTTTAAAGCCTTCCTTGTCCCAGAGGAAGAGACAACTTCTCCTTTAGCAGATGCCAGTATTAACTGAGGCCCTTCCCATGAATGCATGTGCATGCAACAGAAAGGCAACATACAGACCTTTGCCTTTACTGGTCACAAACTGCTACCCAGCCTTCTGCCTCTCCCAACCAACTGAGCTTTCACAGCTCTGCTGGGTTTCTTCATCCTCAAGCCAACAGAAACGTAAGCACCTGAATCTGCTGGCAGGCTGAACAGCCTCAGTGCCTTCCCTTCTGCCTCTGCTTCTCAGAAGGCAGTTTCAGGGAGTTCACCTAGCAGAGGCTGGAGCCCTTGGATACAAAGCCCATTGGATCATAGTCAGACCTCTTACTACTCCTGTGACGCTGCTAGTGACCAAGCAGCTGCTGAAACATGTACAGGACACAGAGGTGACTTTCCCTTCCTGTTGCTGTTGTCACATTCAACCTCAGAAATAACACAGTGTTGAGACCAACATTCTCACTTCTTAGGTTAAATGTCATAATATCCAGTGTCTCTCTGTGCCAGCTTTTTGACAGGACAGTCCCACAACAAACAAGCAATCTCTACTTTCATATCAATTCACCTTATAGAACAACAGTGAATCCCTCACTTTCCTTGTTATTTGACACTTCAGAAAGAAGAAATTAATGAAAAAAAAATGATTCAATCTGTCTGGCATTCTTGCACGATCTTGTGAAAATCACTTAATCCTTCATAGCTTCTTAACTCTTCTTTCTTATATTGTCTTCACAGTTATTTAACAAAAAGAGAATTGAGTAGAAGATTCCTTGTTTGAGTTTTACAAGGCTATTTCTGGCTTTAGAGATTTTAAGCCACTCATAACAACTATTTTGTTCACAGTATAGGTTGTGCATTCCTAAAAGCACTTCCCCAAAGTATAAGCACCATAAGTTTCATCACTGTAGTAACTTCTATAATTGTAGGTTGAATCTTGCTGTTCAGACAGTGATGGGAATTTCTTGAGGGATTTGTGCAAGCCTCAACACTCATGTTCATCACTTAGTTGGGACAAACAGCACTGTGACAGCATAGTGTTTTAACACACTGGTCATTTCAAAAGAACAGTGTGCAATTGCACCAATGCAAGTTCTTTGCATAGCTTGGTCAGCATGACCTCAAGCAGAAATTGAAGCTTTAGTGTTGTTTAAAGGCTAAAGACATATCTTTTCTGACTCCCTGTGGATTCAGTGATGGCAGCAGGACTCCAATGCTGTTGGAGAGTTGTTCATTAAAACTTTCTATATTTAAGCAAAAACATGTCTTTAATTTGTCTCAAGTAGTACAATATAAAATCCCCAGCAGTGCACAACAGAGTGGGGGAGCAGATTATGTGGAAGAGGAAAAACTTCTCTTCAGCCAGCTGCAAAGACACCTCCAAAAGCTTTCTGTGGGCATAGTGTCATCCAGAGAGCTTCAAATTAACTCAGTGAACACAGACACGAAGAACTCACAGCCAAGGCTGAGTATTATTCCAGTATCTCATCTGTTCTCATGCACTGGTTATGATGTCCTTTGTGATTTGCCTATCCAAACGTCCAAGCTACATTGTTCTGGAGTCCCTTAAATTATTACAATTACCAGTCTATCTGATATTTCCAGAGCCACCTTATGCCAGGTTGGGTATTTTTTGTTTTGTTTTGTTTTGTTGCATCCACACAAACAGTAAAGCCCAAACAGAGGTTTATTCCTAACACTGATGAAACGCAGAAGTGTAGTAAGAAAAAGAGTCAAAGCTCCAACAGGCTTTGAACAGCTCTTGAGAAACACTGTACTTTTTGCACAGAGCAGAGAAAATCAACCTACCTATTAGTGGGACTGAATCAGAAGTTGCAGGCATGATCTCAGCCACAAGCAGCATGAATACAGTCAGGGAAAGCAGAACAGTGATACCTGCAGGGAGTGAACATGGAGAGGAGAGATGAGGAACATGATTGCTGCATCTCCTCCTCTGATGTCTTTGCTGTTAAATGTAACTTTAAAGCGAAGACAAATCCATGAATTCATGCTTGTCAGGGTAGGTGAGAACGTCTACCAAGTGAGAGCATCTTTGGATATATCTTTATCTGCTCTCTTTCCAATTCTCAATTGCACCCAAGCCTTTGCTTCTCTCAAAGTAAAGGAGATTCTTTGCTGCTCAGTGAAATGGAACTTGCAGAATGGATAAAATACACTGCTCTTGCCAAACAGAGCTTACAAAAAACCCAGACAACTGTTCAAGATGAGGAGAGACTTGTTTCAACTATTACATGTTATATAACATTCTCCATAGAGCTGTAGCCTGTTACAAAAGTAACTGTGTTATTTTGTTCTCTCTGGAAAGGCTGTTTGCGAAATCTAGCTGCCCTGTGCTGAGAACTTGCCATCTATTTCACGTGTTCAGTGCATGAATATTACACTCTCTTTTTGTGCTTTAACTCAAATAATTCTCCTTGTCTGCATCCTGTTTTTCACAGTCAGAAGTCATATCCCTCATTCTGCTTAGGAACAGAATGACAGAGGGGATGAAGAACTACCATTGCTTCTTCTGCCAGTGACAAGTTCTACTTCATCTGAGAGTAGAATCCAAAGTATTTAGAACTGTATGTGTGAATCCTATACATAAACTTTTACTCCTGTTTCTGCAACTAAACTAGTGCTTCTGTTGCTCATCCAGGGAAATCTTCATTCATCAAAAACCATGAGCTATTATTTGCCATTTTATGGGAAGTACACAAGAAATAAATGAATTCTTTAGCACTTACCTAAAGAAATCTTCTCTCCTGAATCAGCAGGCAAAAGGAAAACAAGCAGTGCCAAGCCAGATATGAGAACACAGGGAATCAGTAGGTTCAAGCCATAGTAGAGAGTGCGTCGGCGCATGGTGATGGTGTATGTCACGTCTGGATATGGTTCTTTACAGCATTCATAGTACAACTCATTTCTCTTTCCTGGAACACCTGCAGAAAGGGAGATCAGAGTAGTGGGCAGCAGCACAGGACTGCCCATCATCCACTGCCCAGATAGCCTCTCACTGGCATTGAAAGGACCCCCAGAGATCCTCCAGTCACTCGCTCTGCCATAAGCAGATCCAACCCCTGCTACCACCTGTTGCTTCTATTTTCTCCATCAGGCTTTAAGCAAGTGATGGGATGAGGAAAAGGAAACAAGAAAGCTCCTGTGCTTGCTAGAAACAGGAGCTAGTGTGTGGTAAAGGCCAGCTGGATCTACCTCCAGACATCCAAGCCCCAGACAGCAGCAGGGAACTTGTCTGGCTCTTAAAGCTGTCAGCAAGGAGAAAGTATTTCCCCACCTCTCCATGTGGTCTCTTATTGTTCCATGCATCCAGGCATGGAATAGAAGATGCATTGAAGTGTCCTGTGGCAAGTGAGAAGGGAGAAAAGAAATACCTAAATCAGCTACAAGGCAAAAGTCATTTTCTAACACTTGTAGCCACTAATGCACGTATGGCTGGATAGATTTAATGAGACCAGGGACAACATGTCTCAGCTCAGTGTTTTTTGAAAGCTGAAATACATCATTACAGGATTAAATCAGCTAAGGCTGACTTCAAAGATCTCAGTGTCTTCAGGAACATCTGAATTGACGGTGCAAGTTGCCTGCTGTTCCTAATCCAACTTCTGTGTTTTCTAGTACTTGCATTCATACTTTCTGGATCATTAGAACATGGATCAGTCAAAGAAGCTCATCTGATCCAGTTCAAAACCAGTCTCAGCAACCCAGCCTCAAAACAGGAAGATCTGCAAACAGAGGCCAGAGGCTAGCACAGCTAAACATGACTTCTGGCTTCCTGCAAGCTAGGGAATGATTGCTAGCTTCTGATGTTATGCACACTGGCCCATGCATTAGATAGCTTTCGAAAGCTGCTAAATCAAGCTTATATTCTGTCATGTCTGAGGGTTTGGATAGATTGTTATACAACATGGTTGTTCTGTAGGGTTGGCAATGGTGACGTAGTTGCAGTAGAGTGCCCAAGAGGCTGTATGGCAGGGACTGCGGCAGGACACGTAATGGCCAGATGGAAGAGCTTAGTACCTCGCATGTTTCATGCCACCACTCTTTTTCTGTGTTACTGTACACAAGGTACAGAAGGTACAGTGATATGTAAATGTTGACAGGAGAAAAACAAGTCTCCATAAAGGTTTGACCAGAGTATTACCGAACACTTTCACCAAATGAGCTGATTAAGGAACAGTTCTGTCCAAAGGCAAGTAAAACTGAGGCCAGTCACTCCACCAGACATGCAAATTTATTGAACAGAAATGACCACTGTATCAAAGCACTTGAAAGTTAGAAATGCTCTGGAATGAACTGACTTTAGATGGACTTTCCTATGAAGTCCTCCAGCACTCCTGAATACTGATTATATTTCTTATTTTATTCTCAGATGCCCTGAATGGCATATTCAGCTGTTCTGGGTTAGTTATTTCCTTGATCAAATACCCAGACTAGAAAAAAAAAAAAAAAAAAAAAAAAAAAAGGCTGCAAGTTACCATTAATGTGGTCTAAACTCTGCCCATTTCCATAACTTGACTTCTGATTTACACCTACTTAAATGAGTTCAAAATAATTCACTAGAAGCTAGCTATGAATAACTAATTCTGGACAGAAGTTCCTCATTTAAAAATACAATCCTGAAACACAGAAAAGGAGATACACTAAGCTGCAATCATTTCCAGATGTTACAAACTGTTAGAGGTTTTGATGGTTTTAGGATGATCTCTGTAAAAGCTAATTCCAGTTTTGCTGAAATACCATTTTTTACACCAATCAATTCTTGAGTGATGTGTTTGAGTAGATGTGACAGTAGCGTTCAGTGTGTCTGCATAAGACACATCTAAGTACAGTTCTGACAAACTGCTCAGATGCATCAGCACCACTAGATTTCATTTGTGCACTTAGATTTAGGCAGTTGCTTCAGAACACAGTGTTTTCAGACACATTTCAAAGAATGCACTTGCAAAGTTGTTTTTGATCTGCAATTTTTTTCTTCTTTTTTTCATGTAAAAGGTTTTACATGAAAACTTTTCATATCTGTATTTCAAATACAGACTTCAATATTTAGTAACTTCTACATATTTGGGCTCTGCCTTTGAAAATTAGAATATTGAAAAAATTTAGGCAAGTCAATTTACCCACTAAATCCCACTCTCCATTTGAGATGTAGTTGGAAATATCAGCCTCAAGCATCTGCAGGTCAATCAGCCAACCACTGTGAGTCCAAGAGCCAAACTTCAAATCACACTTCTGCACATCAAAAGGGAACCAGCGGACATCAATGTAACATGTGCTCTTCAAAATGCCTGTGGATAAAAATCAACCAGAATCAAATGTGTGCAGGATTCACCTCCACCCTTAACTTGACTGACTGTGAGCAACTTTCTTCTCCAAAAGCTTGCATGACATAGTCATGGTGTAACCAAACAGCAAGCAGTGATGAAAGATGCTAGCATAAGTGCCTTCCTGGGACATTGGTGAAGATCCTCCCTTCTTCACTGCATCCTTCAGGTAGATTGTCCAGAACACAGCGGCTATGTGAGAGCTGCTCTCCCTGTCTCTTGGTCTGGCTGGACCAAGGATCACATCCAGATCCAGATTTTACTCTGCATGTTTCTAATCCACTTTCTTCATTGAATATTAGGTAATAGAAGATGTTAGGATTTGTTGCATGCCGTTGCATATTGTAAAGCTACTGTTTAATTTTGGTTTATTTCTTTATTTGTATTCAGCTGAAACAAGAGATTAAACTAGGGAATGCTCCAGACCTTGGGAGCCCCAAGCTGCAGTTGCAACATTTTCCCAGCTGTCCAGGAGAAAAGAGAGCCTAGAGCAGGGGGAAGATGATCTATCTACACAGCCCATATCACAAGAAGCTGGTGGCAAAGCAGAGGTCATCCCTACAAACCTTCACCTCTGCAGGCCTGAGGCTACGCAGTTTTCACTTTAGCTCTCCAGCTTCCCTGAGCAGACCAGCACAAAGGTACGCTGTGATGGAGAAGCAGTTTCTGATTCGATGGAAAGTTACCTCCAATGCTATGCTAAGATGACCTGCTTGCAGTAATTGTTTCTGTGTGCTCCCTAAAATACCAGCTAATGTGAATCTTAGCTCTTAAACACCTAACAAATTTGTGTTTGCTGTAAGTGCTCAGGTTGTGCCTTTTGAATATAAAATCCCCCAAACTGAGATCATGTGCTAGTTTCTTTCTGTTGCTGTAAAAGCTGGGGACATTGTGGCTTAATGGTGTGGTGTGTGCATTTCTCTGCACAAAAACTGACACCCAGCTGGATTCCATCCATTTGCTCTGTTACCTTCTGGTAGATCTGCCTCCCACTGTCACGGCCATTTTCGGGTTGGTTACATTGGGTGTTTTCTCCCAGATTCTCCTCAATCTTGGCTCTGCTACCTTCCTTCACAACAGACAGCTGTCCCCTCCTTGTCCTCTCTCTCTGCTCCTCCATTGAGCCATGTATAGCAGAGCTTGTTTCTCTAATGGAGAGCATCAGTGAGCACAGCCTGCTCGCAGAGTCATGGGAAATAAAACTTTAATGAAGCCTTGGAAACACCATCTTTTTGCCTCTTCTGTGTTTTTCAATGTCCTGATTAATCTGGCTGCTTCTGTGATACTTGTTGCATTAAGTAGGCTGATTATCAACATTTGCCTTCTAAAATGGATTGGGCAAAGCAGTTTAGCAGCAGTTAAACTTCTGTAAGAAATTTGATTTTTATGCTTTGCATGAGACATTTCCTTTACTTCTTATTCTCTCTTTTCTACTTCCAATTCTTCATCACAGAGTTTGTAGCTCACTGCAGATGTACTCTGCATGTGTGGTATGTCTTCTGCCCTCTTAGATGAAAACAAACTAGTAGAGCATCAGATCTGCCTATAAATGCACATTCTCCATTGCCTACCTGTACTGAACCAGTAGGGACAGGGAAGGCTCTGTTCTAGTTCATGGTTGATTTTACTCCTATCAACTGTTGCTCTCTGGAGAGCAAACATTCCCATGGGTCTGTCCATGAAAAAAACAAAAATGCCTTAAAAGGTCTCAAAGGTAGGGATCAACAGAAGATCAACTATCAGGGAATACCCACTTTTATCTTGGTGGCTCCTATGGTTGTGCTTGGCATTAATATTCCAGCGTATGGCACAAAGACTGGACATTTCTTTTCCATCACAGGCTGTGATGAAGGGGATAGCTTGTGTGTTTGCTGTAGGTCCTGGCTGCTTGGACACTGAATCAGCAGTATAGATGGCCCTATGGACACTGAATCAGCAGTACAGTTGGAAAGCAGAATGTAGTTTGGGTCTGGCTCAACAGGGCTGGTCTCAGTTCATCTTTTCTTGATGAACTCATGGAGATGGAGGTTCAGGCTCATAAAGTGCGCTGCAGAGAGACTGCTGCTCCTGGTTACCTCCTGTTGTCATACTTCCCTTCAGTCTCAAGAAAGAACTAATTGGTTTGCATAAGAAACTTTGTGAAAACACGATGTGAGGTACCCAATACCTTGCCTAGATAACTCAGGTGGACCTCTGAGTGATCAAACTACTTAGCAGATTCATGAAGTGGAAATATGCTACCTGTCATGGAGCTATATTACTTAGTGGATCTGTCTCACAATAAAGTTACATATCCTGCAAAATTGCTGTGGACTGCTTCTAAATATTTGATTTCATCTATGAATGAAAACTGCTTACAGTTATTCAAAGATATACATTGAGCAAACAAACACAGTCTGCATCCTACCTGGAGGAATATATTGGCAGGATCCAGAGTAATTCACCAGCACATTTGTGTGAAATGTTGCATCGAATCTTTCATCCGCACTAGAGCACAGCACAAACAAAACAAAGGAAAGAAAAAGCAAGCTGATGTTTAAGGTGTAGCAACTTTCAACAGAAAAAAAAAAAAACAAAAAAACCTCTTTTGTGATGTCTGAATCAAGGTCTGGCTTATGCCCGGGTGAAGAGCCCAGTACCTTTTTTTCTAATAGACACTACTGGCCTGCAACCCAGAAGTGCCAATGGCTTGCTGTAATGTCCTCAGAGGAGCAAGATGTGGGGCTGTTAGATGTCTTGGGGCAAAGGCTGAATGGAAAGGAGCAGAAAAGGAGCAGAAGTATTACAGTTTTTGAAGTTTTAAGGAAGTTTCAAAGTCTGAATAGTTGGCAGGATGAGGCTTATCTAGGGCTGCTGTCAAAATCAGGCAGCTCACAGTGTAACTCAATTTTTTACCTAAATATCTGTTTTAAGAGCAATGGTGCCCTGAGGTAATAATCATTCTGTCTCTTAGGATGCTTAGGGGCCAAAAGTTTGCTTCAGGCAATGGAGGGAGGTGCTGCAGAGAAACAAGAATTCATTTAGGGTTCCAGTGGTTCTGAGAAAAAGAAGGAAATAATAACCTGAGCAAGAATACTGTTTGTGTTTGCTGTAAGTGCTCAGGTTGTACCTTTTGAAGATAAAATCCCCCAAAGTGAGATCATGTGGGGGCATGAAGCAGGCATGGGGGAGTGTTCCAGTTTAAATACAGAAGGATTCCCATGTTGGTTTCTTGCCTATCACGACTATGTGCAGGTCCATGTTGCATGGCTCTCCCATCTCACACACCCTGTCTTGCCACCAATCATGGAAAATTCCAATCTCCATTCATCCTTTGGCTTCTTCCTTGTTCGTGTCTGAGGAAGGTGGACACAGTGCCAGAAAGCTGAAAGTAATTTTCTGTCATGGGTGCTCCTGATATAAGGGGGGGAAAACAAATGCTGGAGAAGACCACCACACACCCGCAACCTGCTCTCATGTCAAAGGGTGAAGAACAATGTCCTCTGCATCAGGATCCTCTACATCAGGGCTTGAAAATCAAGGACTGAACACTGGAAACATGGGAGCAGGACTGACTGACTCAGGAGGAACATAAATATCAACAGAAATCAATGGGGATAAAAGTGAAAAGACTACGGCCATAACACAAAAGGCCACAAGAAAGGCTGTCTTAATAGAAAAAAGAAAACAAGGGAAAGACAAAGGGTGAGGAAGACTCGCTGCTTGCTGTGAAAGGAAAGGAAACAACAGGGTACAGGGAGCTGCAATGTCCTGTACCTTCTGCGCTTCACTCTTCAGGAACTGTGGCTCACCACAACTAACTCTCACACAGTGGTCAGAGTCCAAGGCAGGAGAAGAAAGGAGAGCATTAAAGAAGTGTAGAAAAAGACAGGCTCCAGTTGGCAGCACTGATGAAATTTACTCCTGAGTACTGAAGGTGACGAAAATACTCTCTGAAGCATTAATAATTATTTGTGGGAGTTTGGGGACTACAGGACAGGGCTCAGTGAATTAGACAAGTTCAAAGAGAATTCTGATTTGTTTTTTCTTTTTCTGTAAAAAGGTGAAATTATAGATACATCATCCTAGCTTCAAAGATAATGAAGTAAAAACAGCTGACACGGATTTGTCAAGGGCCAACTGCATGAAATCAATCTAATTTTCTTACTGAATAATTCAATAAGAGGAAGTAGAAGACATATCTGAACCTCAGAAAGCCCTTCCTGTGACATATTCTTATAAACAAACTGAAATAATATAGGCCAGATAATATGCATCATTTTTGGAGATTGAAAATTAATAAAGAAACTGTAAGCAGTAAAGTTGCAGTAAAGAATAGCACCTGAACAATTTTCAGGGCACTTCAAACCTCCTTCAGGTATCTTATAGTGGGTGCTTGGAAGGGAAAACAGCAGAAACCAGAAGGAAACCCAACCCAGACAACTAGATTATGTTTAAAACTGACTGAGAAGGACAGGTCAGTGAAAATCTTGCAAGGACAAAGGACAAAATAAGCCTAAAAATAAGACATTTGAGCAAAAGTAGAACCCCTTCCTCCCAGAAAGCAATAAAAAATAGTCTGTATACAGAACTGCCACTCAATTCAACAGTGCAAAAGTGCTAACTAGAGTGCTGGACTCCATAATGGAGAAGAAAAAAATGGGTTCTAGAGGTTTTGGGGAGCTAAGGAATGATGAAAAGGTGGGGTAATGGAGAGTACGCAAAGAAACAGATTATTTATTTCAAGCAGGAAGACTATGGCACAAGCAATTTTCCAGCAGAGGTATGGTAATTATAAGGAGAATATGGTTGTTTTCACATTCACTGGGAAAAGAGAAAGAAGACATCTATAAAACTACAGAAAGCATGACTTAGAGTGACTACTAGAAAATCTATTAACTTGCATTTGTTTGCTTTTATATTTTTTCCAAGAGTAGCGGACAAAACCTTAGAATATCAGAGCAGCATGGTTGTTTACCAGCATCTAGTGCTCTAGTTCTAGGCTCCAACTGCCAATTGTGCATATTGCTTACCTGTTATAGAGAAGAATGTCAGGTACCCAAATCTGGTCGGCTGGAAATCGCAAGTTCTGCACACCCGGATATTCGTACTGATCCCAAGACAAGTAAATATCAAGCCAGTACTGTTGGAAAATACATACATCAGATTATACAAGCTGGTAGAGATCTTTTAAGCAATTTGGAATATTATGGGAGCAGAATGGATATTATCAGTAGTGATAGCAGTAGTATGATAATTGTTTAATGCTAGGCTTTAATTATTAAGAACTGTTGGCATACAGAGAGAGGAATTTGCAGGTTGATGACTCAGTGTTGTTAGCTGCTGTATTTAATGCAGTGCCTTGCCACTCCACTCTGAGACATGAAGCCAGACATCTCAAATAATTTAAGAAAGGCTCAGGAACAACTTTTGTGCTGAAAGTGACTTACAGAAAAATGCTATGGTAGGATTGCAAGAGTGTTACTGGTGCTATAGCTGAAGACACTCTCTGCTAAGAACAAGATACATGCAGGCTCTGCTGTGTTGATACCATAATACCCTATGTTGGTTTGGTTTAGTTTTTGCAATAGAAAAAAACTCATTCCTGCTTCAAATCCCAACAGACATCAGTGAAATAAACAACCTATTCAGTTGCACCCATTAACTTGACATAGTATTTAACTGCTCAAGTCAAAGCAGAATTAGCTCAATCATTCAAGTCTCCCAAGGTTTTTCCTGCAGAGCTGCATCTTTGCTGAGCACAAGCCATTAAGGAGATCAGTTTATGCTCCATAAAAATAGATCATATCTCTCACCACACAGCCAGCAGCAAATGTGGTAGGAAGTTCCCTCCACCAAAGCCCTAAGTGAAGATCAGCTTTGCTTATCCTGCATGACCAGTTCTGGTCACTCTTCAGCAGGAGCAAGCTGCAGGAGAAGGGAGGAGGTGTGTTTATGCATGAGATTTTTAAGGTAAAAGGGTAGGCAGTGTTCCAAGGAAGCTGTCCCACCAAGGAGCTTGGGCACTGTTGATGGCAAACCACTGCACAGCTGAATGCAGTTCTCTGCATTTGGGGTGCATGATAGAGTGCCCTGCATTTTCAAGGGATACCCCAGCTCCCAATTATAGACATCTCAGAAGCTATGAGAGCAGGACAGCCAGGTCTAATGAGGTGCCTGGCTCCTTCACTACAAGAGCCCAGCTCTACTGTTGGAGGGGCCCTGAACCTCTTGAAGAGTCTCCACCCAAAATGGGAGCCTTGCTTTGAGCTGTCTGTTACAAGATACCTATGCCCATCGGCCTAACAGTGTGGTTAGTATTACTTCCTAAGGTCTGCTCAGAGGGTAAATGAAGTCTCCTGTTGTTTTCACTGCTAAAAGGAGCACTAGAAAAATGTCAGAGACAAGTTAAAAGGCAGCAACCTTGCTTTCCAGCTAAGAAATCACATTCGGTAGTTCGCTATTAGGAAGGTTTTTTTAATCTTTATTCTTACAGGTTACTCACCATTTGCAGCCAAGCGTTTGTAATCAACACCTGATTCTTCTCATCCTTTGACAAGGAAAAGAAAGAGAACAAGAAATTAGACTCATGGATTACAGGTGGAAGACTTCCTTTGAAAACCCACTTCTTGGGTTAAATAAACACAAAGTTTTTGGAGTAGATTGTGAGCTCAGTGCAAAATTATTTAACTGCATTACATAACCGAGACAATAATGGCTCTTTTCTACCTTTTGAAACTACAGACCTCCTGAAATTTTCATAACTGATCAACATCAGAAGAAAACAGGCAATGACTGTTATTTTGCTGGAGACCATTGGATTGCTTACCAAATACATAAAATTTTTCTTTTGTCTAACTGGGCAAAACAAGATATTTCTAGTACGATACAACATGTGGTAATTTGAGTGAGTTTATATCATATTTACTGCCTCTGCAAAACAGGAGAAGTGCTCTTTCTTTGGAGTCTTGGCAGTCTACAGCTTAGCTCAGGCTGAATTGGAAGGACTGGGCTTGTGGAAATGCTAACACATGACAGCAAGACACAGAAAGGGAGCTCAAGAGATACCTGTGCGGAGCAGTGGATCTGTATGTTCAGACACTAGCGTAGATGCTACAGGGAACCAGCTCTGACTCATGACAGAAATGAAGAAGCCTCGTTAGGGGGCTACAGTTTGCCCACTTTGCTGCAGCCAGCCTGCAGGTACAGGATCCTGTGGTGTCATCACCATAGCAGATACGGAGAAGCAGTTCCTTACTCAGATCCACACCTGTGCTTTGCACAGCTCCAGATACCACCACAGGTATGTACTTGCCAAGAGCTGAGAATGAGGTACTCAGTATTGTTGGCCCACCGTATACCCAGTTATTTCCAGCTTGGGCTCAGCTGGATCCTGAAGTAGGGTGTGAGGCTGTAGTAAGTCCGACTGATGCAGCCATTTTCCAAGGAAACCATATTCCTGGCCAAAAGGTATACCAGAAAGTAGCATTTTCCCCCTCTGCTTCAAATCAGCTCTCTTGGGCATGCGTTGGAAGGAACAGCTATGGCCTGACCCAGGTGATTCCAATACTTTCAATGTGTGCTCTCCCAGGCTGTCACAACCTACAGTGCGTTAACTTGCCTCCCCTTTCTACAGTTAGGGATCATAGAGTATGCTGAGTTGGAAGGAAACCGCAAGAATCACAGAGTCCAGATCCTGACTCCACACAGAACCACCCAAAATCTAAACCCTATGTCTGAGAGTGGCATCCAAGCACTCCTTCAACTCCCTGAACTTGGGGCTGTGCCTATTTGGGCAGTCCGTTCCATGCCCACCTCCCTGTGCTGCAGCCCCTTTCCCTGACCCCCAGCTGCCCTCCCCTGACGCAGCTCCATGCCGTTCCCTCGGGCCCTGTCGCTGTCACACAGAGCAGAGCTCAGTGCTGCCCTTTGCTCCCTGTGAGGAGCTGCAGCTGCCATGAGGCTCCCCTCAGCTCCTCTGCTCTGCGTTGAGCACACCAAGGGACATCAACGGCTCCTCATGCATCTTCCTCTCCAGACTGTTCACCATCTTCACAGCCCTTCTTTGGATGCTCTTTAATAGCTTTATGTTCTTGTACTGCAGTATGCATCCTGCACGCAGTGCTGTAGGTGAGGCCACACAGTGCTCCCCTCTCCCAGTGGCCATGCTGGGCCTGCTGCAACCCATGGTACGGTTGCCCTTTGGGCTCCAAGGAGCACTGCTGCCTCATGTTCAACTCACTGTCAGACAGAACACTGATCCCTTTCTGAGGGACTGCTCTCTAAACTCTCATTTACAAATCTGCACATAAGTCCAGGGTTTCTGCAATCCAGGTACAGAATCTGACACTTGCTCTACTTAAAACTTACATAGCTGGTGATTGCCCAGCCCTCTAATTTGCCAAAATCTCTCTGCAAGGCCTCTCAACCCTCAAGAGAGTTAATGTCATCTCTAAACTTCCTTACTATACCTTACAGTCCCATATCCAAGTCATTGGACTAAAGAGAACTTGCCCTAAAATTGAGTTCTGCAGATCCCCACTATTGACTGGTAGCCAGATTGATGTAATTGCATTTACTACAATTCTTTGAGCCCAATCTGCCAACCAATCATTCACCCATTCCTTTTTGTCTACCTTTACATTGAGCAATTTTCTTAGAGGGGTAGTGTAATAAGCAGTAACAAAAGCTTTGCCAAAATCCAGAGAGTTTATATCATCTGGCTTTCCCTGGTCAATTGAGCAAGTAACTTTGTCATAAAAGGAGATTAAGAGGGGGAGGGGCGGAGGGAGGGAGGGAGGGAGGAGCAGCCTGTTCCAGAGGAGCATAAAGGCATCATTTTATATTGGACAGGAGTATGTTGAAATTCAGGTTCCCTTTTGTACGTAGCTCTCTTGCAAAGACATTTCTAGAGAAGGACTCTGAGGAGCCAGGCCTTGCAAAGAATACATCCTGAGGCTGCCCGGAGGTGAGGCTGTGGAACTATGAATCCATACTTTAATGTGAAGGGTTCTTAAGGGAGGAGGTGTTCTTTGAGCTTTCTGGGCTAGTTGCCTGGCATTTTCAGAGCTCTGGAGTCATCAGGAGCTGTGGACTGTGTACATTTCTGAAAGACTTAAGCAAGGGAGGGACCATATTTTTCTACTACAAAGATACTTACAGATAATTATGAGAATGCATATGCCGTATGTTGTCTCAGGTGGTCACTGTCAGGTACTGTTTGGCCTAGATAAAAGCTAATTCTCCAACTTGGTTAGCACTGCAAACAGCTCTCTCAGATGTGTCAGGGATTTGTGCAAAGGAATTTAAGATAAGTCATGTAAGTGCCTTTCCTCCCAGGAGAAAACTTGACTAACCCACCACTTTGCTTTTTTTTGTACATGGTCCATGCCTCACTTGGCACTGTCAGACCTGGAGATGACCTTCCTCTGTTTTGGACAGGCTCCCAGCGCTCAGCTCTCCCTACAGCAAAGCAATGAAAGCAGTCCTGCCAAGATCCCAGGTGAGGCAGGAGATGACAAGCCCCCAGAGATGCCTTCCAGCACTCCTCTGGGTATTCTCCTGGGCTGCTCAGGCAAATCAGTTTGCTCGTGGTATTTAAAAATACTTGAAAAACTAGTTCTGTGGTCACTGGCAAGTACAACATTGTCCTCTAAATCCCTCCTTTCTTTATCTGGGTCATATTTTCTATCTTCAGCTGCAGCCCAGTTAGTCCTCTGTTTTGGAAATTTGATTATTCCTTCAGCCTCAGAGGTTTGTTTTAGAACATGTGCTAGGACATGTGAATGTTTTAGTTTGGTTTTACATTCACTGCTGTCAATTCAAAGCTTACAGTATGCGTAGGTTTGCTTTTCTTTTGCACCAGTGCCTATCAGTAGACTCTCCCTTGCCAGAGCAGCATCCAGACAAAATATGATTGCCCTCAGCCATACAATTATTTAGGTCATAATACATGGACAAAAGAATCCAAAGGCCTTCCTGGTTCAGTAGACACATCATACGGTGATGTGTAAGCTCTGTAACAAGGTCTTTGTTACAAGGTGACTAACTGAGATCATTAATCCTTGCCCTCTCACAGAGAGCATCGACTCTGCCATTGACTTATTGCAAGATATTGAGCAGAAAAATCCCAAATCGAACAGGTAATTCTTAAGACAGGAAGCTTTTTTTTAAAAATTCTGCTTATGCTCCTGATTTTGTAGGAGGGATCTGGTCAAGAAAGATTTCCATTGATTAGGAGAGTTCGAAAGTGTTTTTAGCAGAGGTATTGTTCTCTGCACTGGATTTTGATCAAGAGAATCAAAAGGAAATGGGATGGCTTTCAAAAACTTGTAGGCTCTGCCTGTGTCTGCAGCTGGCAGCCCTTTAAATTGCTAAAATACCCATCTGCCCAAAACCTTGAGATGATTAATTAAAATAGCTTTAATGTATTGAATAAATGAAAATGCTCAAAACCTGCCAGCTTGAGGAAAATGCACATTTCCCTCAAAACACTCCTTTTTAACAGTCACCACCATTAGCTCTGTGTTTCCACCAGTGATGAGCAAGAGCCTGCATGCTGCCCTCGTAACAATCTGTACCAGCAGAGGTGACCCTACTGTTGTCACCACTTCTGAAATGCACCACCCACTGCCTCACTGTGCTCACATCCACTGTCTGATCTCCAAAACATTCAGCAAGTGTCAGCAAATGTCAATGGTTGTCTTTTTTTCCACATAAGGAATTCAGTGTCACACCTTTGCTTCATCTGCACTCCCATGTCAGAGGCTCAGCCTCTACGAGCCAACATAATAAAAAAGGAAGCATTACTTTCGAAGCAGCCCTTGTATTTAAGAGCTCATAGTTGAACACTCTATCACTCCTTCTTTTCTCATTTTATTGCTGTGGGCCTCTGCTTCTATGAATAGATGTTATTTCTCGTAAGTATATTTCACCTAAGGCTGAGCCACATTTCTGTCTCTCTCCACTGATTACTCTTTGAGGTGACAGTTTTCCTGGTCCCTTGTCCTGCTTTGGCAAAGAACATGTCCTTCCCCTGGAGCAATTAGCCCAGCCTGCTTTGGCCTTTGTACTGGGTAGCAGTCTGCGACTGAACAGTCATATGGACTCTAACCACACTTCTGCCATGTTTTTTTTTCCCCACAAGAAGAGATGCATGATACTCCTCTCAGTGGGGAGGAAACTCTGTGGCTCACATTGTTGGTGACTGAGTCCCACAGATCCGTGCAATACTGGCTTTCTTTCCCATTGTTACCAATTCATACTGCTGCTGCAGGGAAGAAAGGCCACGTAATGCAAGCTTGTTTGCATCGTACATGCAGCATGGCCTTCAGCTACAGACTGTGGCTGTCGGTGCATCCCTTGGGAAACATTTTTTTTCTGCAATGCAGCCACTCAGCAGTGCCTGAAGACCGGAACGACTGGAAGAGTGCCATGTAATAGTTTCCAACATTGTTTTTGACCCTGTTTGGCCTCAAGCTCTTCAGCAGAAACCTGCACATTCCAAAGACCACATCCCCATGCTGGGAGGAGCTTTGTTCCACTGTTTCA